TTTTAATACACAATAAACTGATCTGTGTAGCTAATTTTTCGTATGAACGTGTCCATTCACATAAAATCTTAAACATCCATTTTAATTATTTGTCATTTGACACCCTGTATCAGTGACCGATTTACCAGCAGGCTAAATAGCAAGGAGCCTAGGGCAGCAGATTTACGGGGCGGCAAATTTGGCCAAACAGTTTTTGTCTTACAGAAATTTAAAAAAAGCATTATGCAGGGTGAGGTTTTTTAATTTTCACTAAGGGAATCTCGTAAAACGTAAGAGATACAAAGTTAGTAGCTCTACAGCTGCAATAGAATCTAGATGGATATTGTATTTATTAACATTTTAACCTCCTACATTGTTTCTGGAGTAAAATAATCGTGAAACTAACTTTACCGTGAAATTATCTTTCACCTAAAATTGATGGGTCCAAGCATTTTTCAAATCCTTAAACTAATTGAAAATAGCTGTACCTACTACGCAACTTTTTATAGGAAACAGGACTTATTTTCAAAACTGAAAATTGTAAATTCTTTGGAATGTTTGGGAAGTTGAGATTAGGCGATTTGTGAAGTTAATATTAGGATTTTTCTTCTGTCAGATCCAGGATGTATACGAGGAGAGATTATAAAATTCTAAGTTTCAACAGACGGAGAAAACAGTAGCAATAAGTAAGCAAAAATAAGTAAACACCTACCAGTTATTCAACAATGCATATCAATGATCCACGTGTGCCATTCCTCAAGGTAATACTGGAAAATGTTCCATCCATGATAACGGTGGAACAGATACGATATGGTGATGCACTTTATTCCTCCCGTCTGAAAAGCAATAGATAGGTTAATAACTGAGTAGGTACCTACTTGAGAAGAAGACAAGTTTTATATCATAAAATTGATCATTTATTGTACCTAGAACACTTTAAAACAATTTCGGTCGGTATAGTTTTGCACGATTTTGGACGAAAGTTTGATCACGAGCGCAATAATTCTTGTCCCTCATATAGAAAATTTTGAGAAAAAATCTGGGAAGTATGTAGAAACTGAACGAAATTAGAGGAAATTTTCGGGAAATGTTGAGAAAATAGGAGGAAATTTCAAAGGAATGAGGAAATTTTAGGGAAGTATAAAGAAATATTGAGGAAATCTAGAGGAAAGTCTGAGAAAATTAGAGTAGTAGTAAGAGTAAATCTAGAGAAAATTTTAAGGAAATAAAAGGTTTCTATAGGGAAGTAATGTTAGTACTTATTTCACGTTAATTCAGATAAATTTAGTGTAAATTTAGGGAAATTTAAGACAATGCTAGAAATGCGGACAATTAAGGAAAATGGTGGCAATTGTTAGGCAATGAAGGAAATCATAAATAAGTCGTGACCAACCCCTAGATTCTGAATGATCATGAACAACGCTCAAATTAAAAACGAATGGGATACTGTTAGTTAACAAACTGAATTTAAATATATGGGATTTTAGTTTTTCGAAAATAACATACGTACTTACAAGGAGAAAATTCATTGGAGGATTAATTAATACAAGCATTGATAACTACAATGATACAAGTTAAAATGCAAACACGTACCCGTACAAAAGCAGGACCAACATGCCTCGAAGACGGTCGAATAGTTTGTGTGTATTATAGGAAAGTAAAGTAATAAATGAATGCAAGGTTAACACCTTTGCGTGTTAGATAAGAGCAATTGGGTGGTTTTAAAAGGCAAGTTATTTGATAAGCGAAAACGTGATTTCATTTAGGATGCGTAATTTAGGGTCATTGATTTCTCTCATTTCGAAGATCATACGTTTAACGAATTTGTTGTAAATAGTCTAAAATTATAAAACTTTCTAAAACATGGAAACGAGAAAATTTTATTAATGAAAATGGAAAAAGTTTACGGCGAATTTGACTAAACATTGATGACAAGCTAATTTAAATTGATTTGCACGTTCTAGAGGGGTATCTTTAGTACGGATAAGATTGTGGTTATAAGGAAAGGAACGATTTAAGTTAAACTGTTTGTAATGATTTGGGGGTCAGTTTGAGTTTAGGGTACAGAAGCGAAACGAAGAAAGATTAATAAGAGTTAGACAATGGTAGAGACGGATTCTGAGAGGCAATGATTAATTGAACTTCAACTATACCTACGTTATGATATCCAATGACAAATTTGAAACTTATGGGATTAACAAAAAGTCTACAGCAAGGAAATTTAAATTTTCAGGGATGGAAGGAATTGTGATGAATGTTGCTGTGGTAAAGGGTTTTGTAAATGTCCTTTATGTACAGTACAATTAAATGTAATTATTAAAAAACACTAAATTGTTTATAAGTGGTACCCTTGAAGATAAAGAAAATGTGCTTCAAGCATAAGTTTAAGGCGGGTATCGGCGTAATGAAATAATTTTTTGGCAATTTGGCGTCAATAGAAGAAGAGAATGTAACAAAAAAGATTGTCTGTATGGAAGGTTAAATTGTGTTAATGGAATACATGGAATGGGGTTTGATGTAATTTTTAGTAGTTCAGGAGATTTTTAAACAGGGTCTTGCAAAAGAAAACAGTTAGTCCTCAATCGGAAACCGTGATACAGTAGGTTAAATTATAAAGACGTTGAGTATTTTAGGGCTTAGTAAAATGATGTTTTAAATACTCGATGGTGCCCACAGATTTTTATTGCGTTTCGTTTTTAAGAAACCATAATCAATATTTTTATATGGACCGGAAAAAAGTAACACCCTGTAATTAATAGCATTTTCGATTAGCTTTATATCGATGTAACGCGCATTATTGTTTCTAAACGTTTTGCCCAGAAAAAAACTCGCTTCTCAAGAGTGTAAATAAATAACTGAAAGACAAGGCAGTCATTAAAAAAATCCTCAAGACCTCTGAAAGTTTTTCTATTGCTTTTAGGTGCCACATGATAACAAACAAAAACCTTAGAGGATTTTGACTTTTAGCATTAGAAATACACCAAATCTTCTTGTAGGTAGAGGGTTGTTTTTCTTGGAAACTCCTAAATGCTTCTAAAACTTGTTTCATTTATTCATTTGTACTCGTATATTTAAACTGATAGACTTCTTTGTCTTACTAAGTTTCTTAGAGAAAATTTTTTTATATAAATTTTGAGTTTGTTCGTTCATGTGTTTCTCTAATAAGGCTTATAATAAAAGAGAACGATGAAAAGTTAAAACTGAAAGATGTTTTGCGGAGGATGGATTTCAGTCATGGACAGCCTATCAAAATAAGTTTAAAATGAATCCCTGATTTAGTTTCGCTAATTAAATTAAGGGTTTACTTTTTACTTTTATTTCGCCGAATGAAAGAAGCTGGCACCAATAATTTGGGAAACTTCAAAATCTGAGAATGGATGAAAGTTTCAACTCTGGTTTACTGCATATTATTAAATTTTTATCCTTGAGCTTAGTATTTGTGGAGATCCCCCACAAAGTTCCTGTACGTCATGATAAGTCCAGACTTTCGACAATTAAGTTATAATTTTAAAAGTATGGGAGGCCCCACGCAGCCCCCTAACCAGAAGAGAAAGGTCATCTATAGTTTTACAGTTTTTCGCAAATCGTTCAAATAGTTCCGCGAAAAAATTAATTCAAAACACCTCTCCTAAGTGTTTTGAAATGGAAGTTTCCTTATACGGAATACACCAAAAGTCCCGGAACGCTTAATTATCTCCGCTATGTGCAAATCAGTCTTTGTCAAATTTGATATGCGTATGCTACATAGAACAAAGAATGTCATTTTTTATTAAGTAACTACTTCTGGTTTAATGGGAACTTTCACCTACTGATTTTTTAATAGAAGATCCTGTATATATTTTTTTATTACACAATAAACTGATCTGTGTAGCTAATATTTCTTATGAACGTGTCCATTCACATAAAATCTTAAATATCCATTTTAATTATTTGTCATTTGACACCCTGTATCAGTGGCCGATTTACCAGCAGGCTAAGTAGCATGGAGCCTAGGGCAGCAGATTTACGGGGCGGCAAATTTGGCCAAAAAGTTTTTGTCTTACAGAAATTTAAAAAAAAAATCATTATGCAGGGTGAGGTTTTTTAATTTTCACTATGGGAATCTCGTAAACCGTAAGAGATACAAAGTTAGTAGCTCTACAGCAGCAATAGAATCTAGAGGGATATTGTATTATATTATTTATTAAACTTTTAACCTCCTACATTGTTTCTGGAGTAAAATAATCGTGAAACTAACTTTACCGTGAAATTATCTTTCACCTAAAATTGATGGGTCCAAGCATTTTTCAAATATTTACCTTAAACTAATTGAAAATAGCTGTACTACGCAACTTTTTATAGGAAACCGTACTTATTTTCAAAACTAAAAATTGTAAAGATCAGGCTAACATTCTTCGGCAGCCCCCGAAAATTTCTCATCTTAGTTATCAAGATCCGGTTTAATAAAAAAAAAGTTTCCTAAGATATCAGCGAGTGGTTTTGTGTCTTTAATAAACCTTGTACGACCAGATTATTTGGATCACTAAAGAAAAAAACTGTACGTAATTTAATATTTTATAAAATTTTGAATTATGAACCGCCTGATTGCGAGGTATTATGTCCAAATGAGCTTTGCAAGGTTGTCTTTCTTTCAGACTTTGTATTAATTTTTTTATGTGTTTCGGAATAAATTTTTGCACTCGTCAAAATTGTATTATTATTCGAATCCTTTGTGTGATCCAGATTTATTTCAGGTGTTAATCAAAAGCTGTATAATAAATTCTTTGGAATGTTTGGGAAGTTGAGATTAGGCGATTTGGGAAGTCAATATTAGGATTTTTCTTCTGTCAGATCCAGGATGTAAGTATACGAGGAGAGATTATAAAATTCTAAATTTCAACAGATGGAGAAAACGGTAGCAATAAGTAAGCAAAAATAAGTAAACACCTACCAGTTGTTCAAGAATGCATGCCAATGATCCACTTGTGCCATTCCTCAAGGAAATGACGTACATACTTGGAAAATCCATCCATAATAACGGTGGAACAGATACGTCTGAAAAAGAATAGATAGGTTAATAACTGCGTAGGTACCTATTTGAGAAGAAGACTGTTTTATATCATAAAACTTATCATTTATTGTACCTAGAACACTTTAAAACAATTTCGGTCGGTATAGTTTTGCACGATTCTGGACGAAAGTTTGATCACGAGCGCAATTCCTGTCCCTCATATAGGAAATTTTGAGGAAATAGGAGGAAGTTTCAAAGGAATGAGGAAATTTTAAGAGAATATTAAGAAATATTGAGGAAATCTAGAGGAAAGCCAGAAAATCAAGAGAAAATTTTAAGGGAATAATAGGTTTCTATAGGGAAGTAATGTTACTAATTTAATGTTAATTCAGAGAAATTTAGTGTAAATTTAGGGAAATTTAAGACAATGCTAGAAATGCGGGAAATTAAGGAAAACGGTGGCAATTGTTAGGCAATGAAGGAAATCATAAGTAAGTCGTGACCAACCCCTACATTCTGAATGATCATGAACAACGTTCAAATTAAAAACGAATGAGATACTATTATAGTTAACAAACTGAATTTAAAGATAGGGGATTTTAGTTTTTCGAAAATAACATACGTACTTTACATGGAGAAAATTCATTGGAGGATTAATTAATACAAGCTTTGATAAATACAATGATACAAGTTAAAATGCAAACACGTACCCGTACAAAAGCAGGACCAACATGCCTAGAAGACGGTCGAATAGTTTGTGTGTATTATAGGAAAGTAATAAATGAATGCAAGGTTAACACCTTTGCGTGTTAGATAAGAGCAATTGGGTGGTTTTAAAAGGCAAGTTATTTGATAAGCGAAAACGTTATGTCATTTAGGATGCGTAAGCGTAGGTAATTTAGGGTCATTGATTTCTCTCATTTCGAAGATCATACGTTTAACGAATTTGTTGTAAATAGTCTAAAATTATAAAACTTTCTAAAACATGGAAACGAGAAAATTTTATTAATGAAAATGGAAAAGGTTACGGCGAATTTGACTAAACATTGAGGACATGCTAATTTAAATTGATTTGCAAGTTCTAGAGGGGTATCTTTAGTACGGATAAGATTGTGGTTATAAGGAAAGGAACTATTTAAGTTAAACTGTTTGTAAAGATTTGGGGGTCAGTTTGAGTTAAGGGTACAGAAGCGAAACGAAGAAAGATTAATAAGAGTTAGACAATGGTAGAGACGGATTCTGGGAGGCAATGATAACATTGAACTTCAACTATACGTTTTGATATCCAATGACAAATTTGAAACTTATGGGAACTTAAGGATTAACAAAAACTCGAGAGCAAAGGAATTTAAATTTTCAGGGATGGAAGGAATTGTAATCAATGATGCTGTGGTAAAGGGTTTTGTAAATGTCCTTTATGTACAGTAAAATTAAATGTAATGATTAAAAACCACCAAATTCTTTAAAGTGGTACTCTTGAAGATAAAGAAAATGTGCTTCAAGCATAAGTTTAAGGCGGGTATCGGCGTAATGAAATAAATTTTTGGCAATTTGGCGTCAATAGAGGAAGGGAATGTAGCAAAAAAGATTGTCTGTATGGAAGGTTAAATTGTGTTAATGGAATACATGGAATGGGGTTTGAATTTTTAGTGGTTGAAGAGATTTTTAAACAGGGTCTTGCAAAAGAAAACAGTTAGTCCTCAATCGGAAACCGTGATACAGTCGGTTAAATTATAAAGACGTTGAGTATTTTAGGGCTTAGTAAAATGATGTTTTAAATACTCGATGGTGCCCACAGATTTTTATTACGACGTTTCGTTTTTGAGAAGCCATCATCAATACTTTTATATGAACCGGAAAAAAGTAACACCCTTTAATTAATAGCATTTTTGATTAGCTTTATATCGATGTAACGCGCATTATAGTTTCTAAACGTTTTGCCCAGAGAAAAACTCGCTTCTCAAGAATGTAAATAAATAACTGAATGAAAGACAAGGCATTCATTAAAAAAATCCTCAAGAGCTCTGAAAGTTTTTCTAATACTTTTAGGTGCCACTTGATAACAAAGAAAAACTATATAGAGGATTTTGAGTTTTGGCATTAGAAACACACCAAATCTTCTTGTAGAAGGATGCTTTTCTTGGAAACCTCTAAATGCTAACTTCTTTTATTTATTTATTTATAAATTTAAATTGATAGGCTGCTTTGTGTTACTAAGTTTCTTGGAGAAAATTTGTTGATATAAATTTTGAGTTTGGTAAGTCATGTGTTTCTCTAATAAAGCTTTAAAGTGCCCCTATAATAAAATAGAACAATGAAAAGTTAAAACTGAAAGATGTTTTTGCAGAGTATAGATTTCAGTCGTGGGCAGCCTATCAAAATAAGTTTAAAATGGATCTCTGATTTAGTTTCGCTAATTAAATTAAGGGTTTACTTTTTACTTTTATTTCACCTAATGAAAGAAGCTGGCACCATTAATTTGGGAAGCTTCAAAATCTGAGAATGGATGAAAGTTTGAACTCTGGTTTACTGCATATTAAATTTTTGTCCTTGAGCTTAGTATTTGTGGAGATCCCCCACAAAGTTCTTGTACGTCATGATAAGTCCAGACTTTCGACAATTAAGTTATAATTTTAAAAGTATGGGAGGCCCCACGAAGCCCCCTAACCAGAAGAGAAAGGTCATCTGTAGTTAAACAATTTTTCTGAGAAAAAATTAATTCAAAACACCTCTCCTAAATGTTTTGAAATGGAAGTTTCCTTATACGGGGTACACGGGATCAAAATTGTGTTATTATTCGAATCCTTTGTGCGATCCAGATTTATTTCAGGTGTTAATCAAAAGCTGTATAATAAACTCTTTGGAATGTTTGGGAAGTTGAGAATAGGCGATTTGGGAAGTCAATATTAGGATTTTTCTTCTGTCAGATCCAGGATGTAAGTATACGAGGAGAGATTATAAATTTCTAAGTTTCTACAGACAGAGAAAACGGTAGCAATAAGTAAGCAAAAGTAAGTAAACACCTACCAGTTGTTCAAGAATGCATGTCAATGATCCACGTGTGCCATTCCTCAAGGTAATGACGTACATACTTGGAAAATGTTCCATCCATGATAACGGTGGAATAGATACGATATGGTGATGCACTTTACTCCTCCCGTCTGAAAAAGAATAGATAGGTTAAGAACTGAGTAGGTACCCCTACTTGAGAAGAAGACTGTTTTATATCATAAAACTTATTTATTGTAACTAGAACACTTTAAAACAATTTCGGCTGGTTTAGTTTTGCACGATTCTGGACGAAAGTTTGATCACGAGCGCAATAATTCTTGTCCCTCATATAGAAAATTTTGAGAAAATATCTGGGAAATATGTAGGAACTGAACAAAATTAGAGGAAATTTTCGGGAAATTTTGAGAAAATAGGAGGAAATTTCAAAGGAAATTTTAGGGAATTATTAACAAATATTGAGGAAATCTAAAGGAAAGTCTGAGAAAATCTAGAGAAAATTTTAAGGAAATAAAAGGTTTCTATAGGGAAGTAATGTTACTTATTTCACGTTAATTCAGAGAAATTTAGTGTAAATTTAGGGAAATTTCAGACAATGCTAGAAATGCGGGAAATTAAGGAAAACGGTGGCAATTGTTAGGCAATGAAGGAAACCATAAATAAGTCGTGACCAACCCCTAGATTCTGAATGATAATGAACAACGCTCAAATTAAAAACGAATGGGATACTGTTAGTTAACAAACTGAATTTAAATATATGGGATTTTAGTTTTTCGAAAATAACATACGTACTTACACGGAGAAAATTCATTAGAGGATTAATTAATACAAGCATTGATAAATACAATGATACAAGTTAAAATGCAAACACGTACCCGTACAACAGCAGGACCAACATGCCTCGAAGACGGTCGAATAGTTTGTGTGTATTATAGGAAAGTAATAAATGAATGCAAGGTTAACACCTTTGCGTGTTAGATAAGAGCAATTGGGTGGTTTTAAAAGGCAAGTTATTTGATAAGCGAAAATGTGATGTCATTTAGGATGCGTAATTTAGGGTCATTGATTTCTCTCATTTCGAAGATCATACGTTTAACGAATTTGTTGTAAATAATACTGTTTCTAAAATAGGGATCGAGAAAATTTTTATAATGAAAATGGCAAAGTTTACGGCGAATTTGACTAAACATTAAGGACAAGCTTAAAATAGATTTGAACGTTCTAAGGGATATCTTTAGTACGGATAAGATTGTGGTTATAAGGAAAGGAACTATTTAAGTTAAACTATTTGTAAAGATTTGGGGGTCAGTTTGAGTTTAGGGTACAGAAGCGAAACGAAGAAAGATAAAAGAGTTATTACGACATTTCGTTTTTGAGAAACAATGATCAACTTCATATTTTTATATGAATTTGTCTTACTAAGTTTCCTGGAGAAAATTTTTTTATATAAATTGTTAGTTTGTCCGGTCATGTGTTTCTCTAATAAGGCCTCTAATAAGGCTTATAATAAAAGAGAACGATGAAAAGTGTGAAAGATGTTTTGCAGAGGATGGATTTCAGTCATGGACAGCCTATCAAAATAAGTTTAAAATGAATCCCTGATTTAGTTTCTCTAATTAAATTAAGGATTTACTTTTTACTTATATTTCGCCGAATGAAAGAATCTGGCAGCAATAAATTTGGGAAACTTCAAAATCTGAGAATGGATGAAAGTTTGAACTCTGGTTTACTACACATTAAATTCTTATTCTTGAGCTGAGTACTTGTGGAGATCCCCCACAAAGTGCCTGTACGTCATGGTAAGCCTAGACTTTCGACAATTAAGTTATTATTCGTTAATAAGGCCGCACGCAGCCCCCTAACCAGAAGAGAAAGGTAATCTATATACAGTTTTTCGCAAATCGTTCAAATATTTCTGCGAAAAAATTAATTCAAAACACCTCTCCTAAATGTTTTGAAATGGAAGTTTCCTTATACGGGGTACACCAAAAGTCCCGGAACGCTTAATTATCTCCGCTATCTGCAAATCAATCTTTGTCGAATTTGATATGCGTATGCTACATAGAACAAAGAATGTCATTTTTTATTAAGTACCTACTTCTGGTTTAATGGGAACTTTCACCTACTGATTTTTTAATAGAAGATCCTGTATATATTTTTATGTCTTACTAACCTAAACTGATATCTATACTCTCGGGCGACTAAAAAGCTCTCGGGCCATAGGCCCTCGAGCTTTTTAACTCGTCGCCCTCGAGAATATAAACATCACTATTATGCCCTTAATACGAGTACATAAATAACTATTTTAATACACAATAAACTGATCTGTGTAGCTAATTTTTCGTATGAACGTGTCCATTCACATAAAATCTTAAACATCCATTTTAATTATTTGTCATTTGACACCCTGTATCAGTGACCGATTTACCAGCAGGCTAAATAGCAAGGAGCCTAGGGCAGCAGATTTACGGGGCGGCAAATTTGGCCAAACAGTTTTTGTCTTACAGAAATTTAAAAAAAGCATTATGCAGGGTGAGGTTTTTTAATTTTCACTAAGGGAATCTCGTAAAACGTAAGAGATACAAAGTTAGTAGCTCTACAGCTGCAATAGAATCTAGATGGATATTGTATTTATTAACATTTTAACCTCCTACATTGTTTCTGGAGTAAAATAATCGTGAAACTAACTTTACCGTGAAATTATCTTTCACCTAAAATTGATGGGTCCAAGCATTTTTCAAATCCTTAAACTAATTGAAAATAGCTGTACCTACTACGCAACTTTTTATAGGAAACAGGACTTATTTTCAAAACTGAAAATTGTAAATTCTTTGGAATGTTTGGGAAGTTGAGATTAGGCGATTTGTGAAGTTAATATTAGGATTTTTCTTCTGTCAGATCCAGGATGTATACGAGGAGAGATTATAAAATTCTAAGTTTCAACAGACGGAGAAAACAGTAGCAATAAGTAAGCAAAAATAAGTAAACACCTACCAGTTATTCAACAATGCATATCAATGATCCACGTGTGCCATTCCTCAAGGTAATACTGGAAAATGTTCCATCCATGATAACGGTGGAACAGATACGATATGGTGATGCACTTTATTCCTCCCGTCTGAAAAGCAATAGATAGGTTAATAACTGAGTAGGTACCTACTTGAGAAGAAGACAAGTTTTATATCATAAAATTGATCATTTATTGTACCTAGAACACTTTAAAACAATTTCGGTCGGTATAGTTTTGCACGATTTTGGACGAAAGTTTGATCACGAGCGCAATAATTCTTGTCCCTCATATAGAAAATTTTGAGAAAAAATCTGGGAAGTATGTAGAAACTGAACGAAATTAGAGGAAATTTTCGGGAAATGTTGAGAAAATAGGAGGAAATTTCAAAGGAATGAGGAAATTTTAGGGAAGTATAAAGAAATATTGAGGAAATCTAGAGGAAAGTCTGAGAAAATTAGAGTATTAGCATTGAATAAAAACACTATTATTCAATGGTATTAGTAAGAGTAAATCTAGAGAAAATTTTAAGGAAATAAAAGGTTTCTATAGGGAAGTAATGTTAGTACTTATTTCACGTTAATTCAGATAAATTTAGTGTAAATTTAGGGAAATTTAAGACAATGCTAGAAATGCGGACAATTAAGGAAAATGGTGGCAATTGTTAGGCAATGAAGGAAATCATAAATAAGTCGTGACCAACCCCTAGATTCTGAATGATCATGAACAACGCTCAAATTAAAAACGAATGGGATACTGTTAGTTAACAAACTGAATTTAAATATATGGGATTTTAGTTTTTCGAAAATAACATACGTACTTACAAGGAGAAAATTCATTGGAGGATTAATTAATACAAGCATTGATAACTACAATGATACAAGTTAAAATGCAAACACGTACCCGTACAAAAGCAGGACCAACATGCCTCGAAGACGGTCGAATAGTTTGTGTGTATTATAGGAAAGTAAAGTAATAAATGAATGCAAGGTTAACACCTTTGCGTGTTAGATAAGAGCAATTGGGTGGTTTTAAAAGGCAAGTTATTTGATAAGCGAAAACGTTATGTCATTTAGGATGCGTAAGCGTAGGTAATTTAGGGTCATTGATTTCTCTCATTTCGAAGATCATACGTTTAACGAATTTGTTGTAAATAGTCTAAAATTATAAAACTTTCTAAAACATGGAAACGAGAAAATTTTATTAATGAAAATGGAAAAGGTTACGGCGAATTTGACTAAACATTGAGGACATGCTAATTTAAATTGATTTGCAAGTTCTAGAGGGGTATCTTTAGTACGGATAAGATTGTGGTTATAAGGAAAGGAACTATTTAAGTTAAACTGTTTGTAAAGATTTGGGGGTCAGTTTGAGTTAAGGGTACAGAAGCGAAACGAAGAAAGATTAATAAGAGTTAGACAATGGTAGAGACGGATTCTGGGAGGCAATGATAACATTGAACTTCAACTATACGTTTTGATATCCAATGACAAATTTGAAACTTATGGGAACTTAAGGATTAACAAAAACTCGAGAGCAAAGAAATTTAAATTTTCAGGGATGGAAGGAATTGTAATCAATGATGCTGTGGTAAAGGGTTTTGTAAATGTCCTTTATGTACAGTAAAATTAAATGTAATGATTAAAAACCACCAAATTCTTTAAAGTGGTACTCTTGAAGATAAAGAAAATGTGCTTCAAGCATAAGTTTAAGGCGGGTATCGGCGTAATGAAACAAATTTTTGGCAATTTGGCGTCAATAGAGGAAGGGAATGTAGCAAAAAAGATTGTCTGTATGGAAGGTTAAATTGTGTTAATGGAATACATGGAATGGGGTTTGATGTAATTTTTAGTGGTTGAGGAGATTTTTAAACAGGGCCTTGCAAAAGAAAACAGTTAGTCCTCAATTGGAAACCGTGATACAGTAGGTTAAATTATAAAGACGTTGAGTATTTTAGGGCTTAGTAAAATGATGTTTTAAATACTCGATGGTGCCCACAGATTTTTATTACGACGTTTCGTTTTTCAGAAACCATCATCAATATTTTTATATGGACCGGAAAAAAGTAACACCCTGTAATTAATAGAATTTTCGATTAGCTTTATATCGATGTAACGCACATTATAGTTTTGCCCAGAAAAAAACTAGCTTCTCAAGAGTGTAAATAAATAACTGAATGAAAGACAAGGCATTCATTAAAAAATTATCAAAGTCCTCGTTTGAGATCGAAGGGACTTCAGCGCATTTTTGTGTGGCAGATCAGTATTCTATTAGCCACTTTCGATTCAACCATCAATAACAGATCTTGTCGAAGGCTACTACATTCACTAACCGCTTCCCACTTTCCTCGTGCACCCGCAATTTGCTTTTAAAGATTTGACTCCACCATCAGGAAGATCGTGTCGGGGGCTACCACATTCCCTTTGACGGTACCCACTTCCGACGTTCGGTTCACCCGCAATTCGCGTTTGAAGGTTTGACTCCACCATCAGTGAGATCGTGTCGCGGGCTACCACATTCC